ATGGAGGGAGCTCCGTGACCAAAGAGGCTTCAAAACCCATGTCCAGCTAGCTTTCTTTCTAATGGATCAGTAAGTAACACGGCTAAATGTTAGCTAGACCAGAGAGGACTGTACTGTACTGGCTGCTAGTTCATTCCTAGCTGGCCAGCATCGCAAATCACCGCAACCAGGGAGCGGGTAGCGAGTGTTGGTCGGCTGACATCCTGGTTGCCATTCTACGGCAGCCCTCGGACAGTGATACCCCCCTCCCTTCCTTCTGTTCTCTTCTCACGGAGGCAGCTATCCACGGACATCGCCCAGCTAAGTTACGCCCAGCTAAGTGAACACTGGACTTTGTTTCCCATTCAATTTGAGCTCCAACCGGCCGCATGGTTTCCATACGGTAGCGTTTATTCTAGAATGGGGACTGTTTACATGTGCATATTGTTATAATTCCACTGTGTCTACTGTTGTTTGTACTGATACTGTACATATTGGTATCATTTACTGTGAGCTGTTTGTACTGGTACTGTGCATTCTGCTATAATTATTTGCATTACTATTTGTTTTTTCTTCAGATAAATCTGATAATTGTTGCTCGGTCTCTTTACTCATTTATTTAGTAGAGTGTCCACACACCTTCTCATTCTACATATACATAGAGGTATACTGGTGGCTTTACAGCCTACATTTTATTGATTATCTCTGATCCCCATGCTCAATTTGGTCGTTGTGGTTGTTGCAACAGTGCGGCACAAGACCACTGACGCTAGGTGGCACCAAGCTAAAAAAAACCCCTGAATCCTATCTGTTGTTGCAAGGAGAGCTGCAGTATGTACTGAAAGTAAAAAGAAAAGTTTGTGATTCGGAACACGGCCATTGTAACTGCTGACTTCTCCAGCTGCCATCTTTGTTTTGGTCAAGCGATGGAGAAACAGCTTGTGAATGAGTCAGGATGCAAACTGGGGCTCTGTGCCATCCAGAAACTCAGTGCTGATACCATCCTGCCAAACTCACCCAGTCCTGACAGCGTTCACTCATCCTGCAGAAGCACCTTAACTGTAAATACTCTAACACGATGCTTCCCCTCCGCTGACCTTGTTAGTGGAGGATGTAAAACGAGGCCAGTAGCTCCTCCTCCTGCTCACTAACAAAAGCTTCTGATTAACTTTATGAAGGAGGGGTGCATGTGTCTTTTAACTGCATCCCTCCCCCCTGTTGTGTCTCATCAGCCACTCACAGCCCGGCGCAGCTGTGACCTAGATCCACACGATGGGAACCCGGTCCGGCTGTGATGTCACCTTTGCTCTCACGGTTCCGCGGCCAATCACTTTGCCCGACGACATCGACATGATGGGGCAAAACAGAGGAGAAGCAGGGAACTCAGGGTTTATTGACAAAAACAGTTAGCTGTTAGCTCCCCCTCTTCACTGCAGCGAGAAAACAAGCGCTCTGTGAATCGCGCTGCCCTGAATGCCACAGACACTGAGGCCTGTCCGGGCCTGTGTAATCACTCGCTCTTTTGTCAACAATGGGGAACAAATTGACAAAACTACAGATTAGACTTCCCGGTGAGATGACCAGCAGACACAACAAAGTTGTCATCACAGGTGCAACGTAGTTGTGATAATGTGTTGGTGGAGAAGTGTCATTTGTCATGTGCAGAAACCTGGTTTCAACTTGACACATAATCACTCCGTCAACAAAGACATGTCATAACACTAAAATGGCCTGACTGCTGATTACTGTGGATTAAATTGTGGAAAGGTATTTCAAGTATGCAAAAACACATTGTGGATACTAATGCATCAACACAAAGAAACCACAAGGCTCGTGGCCCTTTAAGGTGAATCTGTCTGCCACCGCCTACATTTGTCCACCAGATCAATTCAACCAGAGTTTTTTCTTTGTTTTATTTTCTTCAGTCTTGCAGTAATAGAATTATCTGCTATTTACAAAGAGAAACAACAGTTCAAGGAAAGTCTGGGAAAACAAGGATAAATTTATGCAGCAAAATAATTTCTGTTAATCATTTTGAGACCCCTCAAATTTATCTTGCGATGTAGCGAGGCTCCTGACCGCCAGATTGGGAACCAGTGGATTGGGCAAACACAGAGTCATAAATTGTTGCTGTGACTAGGCAAAAAGAAGGGATCCTGATTGATTGTAACGTGATCTCTTTCTAGCCCGTTCTCATTTCTAGGGCGTCAAATATGACAGCTTGGTCTGCAGTGTCAGTGTCTGACTTTGACGCACACAACACCCTTTAGTGTCTGTATAGCCCTGTTTCAATCAAACACTTTAGTTATGGTACCTTTGGAACCAACAGTAACCCTTCAGACATGGTACCTAGACCCTCTGTCTGTTTACCATCCAGCACTCGCTGTATTTCCTCATCAGCGGTGACACAGATGGAAGTCTGCACCTGGTTTATCGTCCACAGAATGAGGCCGCGAGCCCACATTTTCAGAACAAAACAGAACAGGCTGCAGTGAGAGTCTCTCTCCATGGGATATTTAAAAATAGCAGCTTTGTGCATTTAGTCCTTCTCAGGCAAGCTCAGGGGTTTAGTGTTGCTGTAGCCCACAGGAAGTTAGGATTAGAATATATGACCTTCACATAATCCGCTCCAGATTAATCTATATTTTTAAAGTCATTACTAAAAGTGTGTGTCATATAAAAACTAAAGTGATGGTCAAAGTTGTCACAGTGAAATTTAAGGTGTGCTGATGGATTCACGTCATCAACTCATGCATTGAGTAACATTACAAGTTAACGTTCCACCTTAAAAGTCGCCGGCAGTCGGCCCAGTGAATGAAGTTATTTTTTCTCAGACTCCAGCTGCTGTGAGAGGCAGCAAAACATCCTTTCATTTTATAGTTATAGTTTACTAATAAAACTCTCCACAGTATGAACAGTGGTTACATGAGCCTCAAAACCAGACACAACTCAGCCCTGAGCAGAGTGACCGTCCTCTACTGACCAATCAGACTGCAGTGTTCACAGCTCCACCTTTTAGTACCAGATCTCTGTGCCAGGTACCCCAACAGAGGGGGGACCAAACATGGGGATGGTACTGAACAGTTCCACTGGTACCATCCACAACTTTTCACAGTGGAAACAGAGAAAATGTGTACTGAACTGAACGGCACTGCTCAGTGGAAACGGGGCTTAAGAGACACACTGCGCTTTAACTACCTCCAAAGTAGGCATGTCACGATACTGGAAATTTGGTAGTAGGTACAACACCTGTGAAATGATTTTCGATTTTTGAATTTTTTCAATACCATGGTAAAAAACAAAAACAAAAAAACTGAGCTAGTTTGCTGTCTTTCTCAAGTAGCTGTCCGTTAGTCACTCACTCTACAGCAACAGCACTTCTAAATGAAAGCTTTGTCAGAAATTCACTGCACTTCAAAATAAAATGTGTTTTTTTACAAACTTGACAAGTTTGAGAGTTATGTGTAGTCCATTAAGAATGGACCCGCAACCCACTCTTTGACTGCGACCCACCAGTTGGGAACCACTGCTTCAGGAAATTGTTCACTCAACTTAAAGGTCCTTCATTGAAGTTAAGCACAACACTCACCACTGCATTTCTTCATGACGTGTCTGTTTGTTCTTCCCTGACTGACACGTATTTAGTTCTCTTGTTAGATTATTGCCACCTCCTGTCCTATGCTTTGCAGCTTCCCTCCAACCTGCTCTCTCTGTGTGATCCAGCTGATGCTCCAGGAGAAAACCAAAACTGATTTACTCTGCACATCAGTCTCATGGAATAAAGTATAATCATACTGACGCATCAAAACACCTCCGTCCTTCCATGAAACTTCAATAACCGCTACATTCTTCACTGTTCCAGCTTATCTGAGCCGCTCGTTTGTTTTGATAAAGGAGTTATTATTCTGTGCACCTGTAAACAGAACATTCCTGTGCGTGCTTATCCAGCCTACTCTGGAAATAAAGGTTTGATGTTTGTGATGTGATACAGCAGAAGATAAGATATAAACAAGGCTGTAGTAAATATGACAGAGTTGCAACACAAGAACATGCTCATGTGGTCAGGTGTGCAGAGCAGCAGCAGCAGACCAAAGTCAGTCAAATGACATTAAACAATCAAAAAGAAAAACCATTAAAACACAAGAGTGAGACTGAGTAACGCGTGCCACTGACGCCATCATGACGGGTCCATATGGAGGACCCCTCTCTTTTATGGTGTTGACAAAATGCCTTTAAGACCTGTTATTACTGCTTCCTGCCCTGCAGACAGGGGAACTCAGCAACCTTTATTTTCTCCCTCTCTCCCTCCCTCCTCCCCGCAGATCAGAGCTGGCTGCACCGAGGCAAAACCAAAACACTTTGCTGTCATCCTGCTGCATGCACGGAGAGCACGAGACGTCAGGTTTTTGGCTGCAAAGTCATGAGTGCTTCCAGCGCTGCTGAGCAGACGAAAAATAAATAGCGAGAATAGTAATTTCTTCAAAGTAAGAGCAGCACCCGGGCTAATTACAGTGACAGGTCAGCTTCTGTGCGCGCGTAAAAATAACCATTTTCTTAATTACAACATCAGTGTCATTGGTGCTGATGACTTCGAGGAAAGGGCGTGCGTGTGCGCGCGTGTGCGCGCGTGTGGAGGGGGAAAAGTGTTACTTAAACCGTAAAGATACTCCTCATACTTGTGTGTGGGTTGTATTTACTTTGGAGCAAAGTGACTCATTCTGCTCCAAAGTCTGTACAAGAAAGCAAATTAAAACTATTGTGCATGAGTGTGTGTGTGCACGTGTATGTGTGTGTGTGTTTAAGGAGGTGGGAGAGTCACTTGTAGCAGGAGAAAGAATGAATAAAGTCAACACTGCAGATTCTTTTAAAATGCAACACAATAAATCATTCCCCGTTCATGCAACAAGTCAAACAAAGCGACTCTTTCTGCAGCAACACTCCCAAACTCCTGCAGAAAACTTCCTCTTTTCTGTTTCGACTTTGCAACAAGTTTAAAAAAAAAAACAGTTCCTCCAACTCACCGGTGCCGCTTTGTACCTGCTGGATCCCCGCACTGGAAGACAAAGCGTGCTCGGGAGGCATTGCAGCGCGAAGACGTAGCAGCACACGAGCAGAGAAGTCCGCATCCTCACCGCCGTCTGGAGCCGTGCTGGTGCACAGGCAGGCTGAATTTGGCGCAGCTGTGAGCGGTGCGCAAAGCCGGGAGTCACACGGCTGCAGGATCCGGGGCTACTTCTCTTTAAATAGACTCTGATTTCTTTGTTCTCCTAAAGGTTTTTTTTTTTTCCTCCACATACACTTTTTTTTTTTACAGCCCAGGGCTGATAATACCACCCGCTACCATGTGACTCTTAACCCTTTTTCTCCCGTGTGCCCGTCAACTGAAACCAGATGATGGCTTTGCGTTTTTCACCCACCTGTGGATCCTGATTTTATGAACACCGAGAAACCAAATGTTGAGTTTTGGCAGGGAGCATCTATAAAATACACACAATGTCTCATATTATAACACAGTGACACAGCATGTGCTGGCAGGCACACTGCAGGACCTATGGAGATATTATAGGATTATTATAAGAGTATTACAGCAACACAATCACCTACAGTAAAAACTAACAGGCAGCAACAAAACACTCATTTTTATGAGGAGTAAAGAACAGTGTGTTGAGGGAAACAGTGCAGATGTGTGAATTAAGGGAAAGTGATGTTTGTGATAATGCCTTTAGTTCTTTTATCTCAGATGTGTTACGATGTCACATACCTTGACATGTTTCGGCAGAAACTTTCACCTTCCTCAGAAGTGATTATCAGAAGTTTCCACCGAAAACAATTCACCTGCCAGCAGGTACAACCTCCTAGGAAAATGAAGGCTCAATTCCAGGCAACACATTGTCACCCCAAGTCGCCTTGTACATTGACTTTCACGTTTGCTACATGTTACGAATCCTCCTGTGTCTGCTGATGACGTTCTGAGATGCTGCCACCAACACCAATGGCTCAACATTCATATGAGAAGCAAACACCGGGCTCCCAGGTGAAAGTCCAGGGTTTGCTTGACTCATCCACCAGGGACTTTCCAGATCCTTATATTACGTCATCACCAGCAGTCATACCACCACATCAGGTGCAATCCAGCCAAGCAGCAGTGTATCATAACACCATCAAAAGTGACTTTTTGCATCCGAAATCACTGACACAAGGCGGTATTTGAGTACTTCAGAATGAGAACGGGTTGTTTCAACCCAATTGCCACAAGAAAAGGTTGGCATTGTACGTCTCTGCAAACCACGAATATGATATATTTGTGCATTTCATATATATTGATTTAACATTTCTAGTATATGAACTGAAGTGGAGGGGTCGGTGGATGGTGTGTTACCTTGGTGAGTTGCCTGCCAAGCTGCAGACCCACTAAACTTGGGTGTTTTTAGCTACCCATCCCTGTTTTTTCACTGTGATAGTGCTAGAAAAAAGCAATTGTTTTTATCCAAACATCGCTGCGTTTCCTGTCGGGATGGCGGCACTAAAAAAAGTTGTTATTTACAGAGTCAATAGCCCCTTTTACAGAGGCGGATTGGCGAGTTGATCCGAGGTGCCCAATTTTCTGCCTCGTAGGGTAGACATATTGGCGGAACCCTTTTAGTTTAAAAAGAACGAGGCGGCCTTCTGCAATGGGAGGGGCTGTTGATGACTTGTGGGAGGAGCTGTTGATGGCGCCGCACGTGTGACCCACTGGCGGTGGATAAACAGGAAACAGCTGATAGCAGGAATTAGTGAGCAGCTAGTAGCAAGAGGGAAACACAAACCTGACAGACACTGTAAAGATGAGCAACTGGGGAGACAAGGAATTGCGCGCCCTCCTTGTCCTCGCAAACGAAGAGGCCATTAACCGTCAGATGACGGGGACGGTGAAGAACGGGCCGACTTACGAGAGAATCGCCGAAGGACTGACCAGCCGCGGCTTCCCTCCCACGTCACTGTTTATGTCACATGCTGAGCTACACGTTTTGTTACTTGCTCACGCCCCCCATTGCCCCGAAAAAGGCACATTCTGTATAAACAAAAGTAGGCAGGCGGCATTTTGCTGCACTCCCCGATTTTGTTTTTATACTGCCAAAGCTGAAAAAAGACTGATTGGGCTTTCCTGCAAATTTGCACAACTCCTGTTTAAAAAGGGCTAATGATTGCTTCTCCAGCCTGATCGTGCTATCAAAACCACTTTTTAAAGCCCAAACGTGATCCTCTCCGAACCAAGTTTTTAACTTAATTAAGTATGTGGTTTGCAGAAATCTGGCGATATGTTTGCTCGATTTACAGCACAAAGGAAGTGTGTCAACAATTACGCAACCAAAACAGGATAGGACAGCACTTTTGTTTTTCCTGGTAGCTATTAGTATCTGTCCCCACTTACCAAAGAGTATTAGTGTAGTACAGACACCCGACACCGAAACTCCAGTATACTGCGAAAGACAGAGAGCGTTCTCTGGGAGCATTGGGCTTAATCAGCATCGTTTGAACTTGTTTGGAAAAGGCTTGGCTGTAACAGAAGCTCCTACCCATACTCATTCTCAACTTGTCCAACTCCGCCTCTTGGTCAGTGATTTCAGTGTCAGACACAGACACCAAAAGCCAACTTTCACAGCGGTATGACACGCCACTGGACGGCTTCAGTTTGTAGCTTAGACAGGTCCTTTTTTAGTGATATGATACGCTGCAGGTCGGCTGGATGGAACCTGTCACAACAGTATGATACTCGGACAGGCGGCATCAGTTAATAACATGGCCGGATGGCACCTGTTGCGGCGGTATGATACTCCGCTTGAATCTGGATGGCGTCAGTTTGAGCCCATACTCATCCCGAACTTGTCAGACACTGTCACTTGGCCATGATTTTGGTGTCATTGACCAGGAATGTCTGCTGGAAACGCTGCCAGTAACGATGTAATATAAGGAGCTGGAAAGTCCCTACAGTGCGTGCAGGAGAATTGGTGGATGGGTCCAACAAACCCACAAACACACAGGAGCCTGGTGTTCACTTCCTGTGTGAATGTAGAGCCAAACAATGATTTTTTCCAACACTAACCATGTGCTTTTGGAAATAAACCTAAATATGGAGTCTAATGAGCAGAAACTGCACATTTCTTGTGAAAACAGGCGTGTATTTTGAAAGACATGATGCATTTAACAGGTGTAAGCTGACACACCGTCTCCTAACATCAACAACAAGCAGTGGAGGATACCTAGTGACGTGAAGCAGGAATATTTGACGAGTTGGGATAAGAATGTGTTGGAAGTTCATTCATACACAAAACTCCTGCGCTTCAGCTTTAAAATATGCTCAAAATAGAGATATTGTCATTACTCCCCACATTGTTCCTTTGTCAAAACTTGGCGCCTATATTACCCACAGTGCACCTCAACCATAGACAGCTCATTTAGGTGTGTTATGCCAGTATCAGCTCATGTATCTTTGACAGCAGAGATGAGCTGAAGATACAGAGGTCTCGCTTCTGTCGAACTCCACACCTCCAGATTTCTTTCATTTCTAGACTTCTTGTCTCCAACCCCAACTGACGCTGAATCAAGTGACATAACTTGAGGACATTTATCAAACTGGATACACTAAAGGCTTTATACATTATTCCACATGTGCAGCAGTGCTCCCCGACACCTGGAAACTTACTTTGATGTGCAAAATCTGTGGCGTTCCCCTTTAAACACAGAGCCTGAGTCAGAGGATTAGTTTAGCTTAGCATAAAGACTGGCAGCAGATGGAAACAGTTAGCCTGGCTCTGTCCAAGGACGAGAAATACAACACCTCTAATGCTCACTAATATGTATTGTATCTTATTTATTTCATCCACACAAACCAAAGTGAGAGGCTGCACAGAAATTCAAGGCAGATGGAAAAAATGTTAGTCAAGTTCCAGCATGTAAAATTATCTTTGTTATTTTTATTTTGGTGTGGATTAAAACGACAAGATGTAACCAGATGATTAGCGAGCTGCAGAGGTGCTGGAAGATGGATTATTGAACTTTGAACAGAGCCAGGCTTTGTTTCCAGTCTTCTAGGATAAGCTAACCTCCTTTTGACTGATCAACCATCTCATCTAATTCCCAGAAACAAAGCAGGTATTTCCCTGAATCTCAGACTATGGATATAAAAGGAATCATTACGAGAACTGCCATCAAACGGGACACAGTGTGTGTGAAGTGTATTTTTTCTGAGAATAAAAGGAGTGTGTGTGACAATGAAAGAACGGAGGTAGGAATCTGTTGATTTATTTTTGCAGCTGTAAGATAAAATGCTCCACAGTGGGACCCACTGGAGGTTTCTGACCCACCTCCGTCCCTTTGTGCAGGAGAAAAAAAAACCTCTCTGTGAGTCAGTTTGAGATCATTTCTATAATTACAACCGCTAATAGCAGTAAAGAATTCAGCAGAGCTTTCCTGTGTAATGGCTGTCAGGTTTCGGAGGGCTATTTGGACATGAAACAAGGGCTCTAATAAAACCCGATTGCCTGACAAGGAACTGCGAGCTCTGCACCACATCAGGCCCGTTATCTTGTGAGTGTAATGAAAGAGAAAAGGGAAAGGCTTTATACGAAAGTGACACTTGTAATTTCTGGACAGGAGACTGTAATTAATGTTACAGGATGCAGATGTATTACGTACAGAGGCCAATTTAAAGATAGAGCTGACACTGGAGTGGTCAGATGTCAGTGAGGTTTGGTCTTTACCCTCTTATTTAAGCTGTTAGTGCGCTGGGTGACATGAGACAGTAACACAATAACATGTAATAACAGCGATAATCAAGGATTGTGTTTCTGTTTTCAACTGTTTTATAGAACACAGACTCAAAACTGTGACATTGATCCAAAAATAAACAACATTTAGCAGCGAACAACTTTTACAGCACATAAAAAACATAATATCCATAGTTTTATGATAAGATACTGCAGTATGTTGCAGTGGCATGAATAGACTATTTAAGGCGCAGGGGCAAAAATGAAAAATGGGCACTCCAAATGTGTGCAAAGTACTTTAAAGTAATTGTAGGAGCCAGAATGTTTATTAAACATCTGTTGTTTATTATCTGTTTAGGCTGCACACATTGTTTTGGTTTTCACTTCCGGTAGTTATAATTGACACAGGGGTGTGGTTTCACATTATTCAATGCGGTTTCATTCCAAAGTCCTCGAATCCGGCGCACTGACTTGCGGTGACAGACACTGGTGAAAA